TCCTCACTGAATGTGATCCAATTGGAGTTCTGATGGGAGGGAAGATACATTCTCAAGGTAGATCTGAAAAGTGTATCTTGCCACTTTTGGGTACTTGGGAATGGCTGAAGCAGATTTGATGCACACCACCAAAAACTTAGAAAAGATGGTAAGATGCAGAGCCAAGGGGATACAAAGCTGTAAGCCTTCCTTTCGTCTTACACTGACCTTTGTGTTTGTGGTCCCCTCTTTAAAAATTCCCTTCCTTAACTGGAAGCACACACACACACACACACACACACACACACGAAAACAGATGCAAGATGTCTGGATCAATGTTATTCTCTTATAAATCCTCAAACCAGCATCGAAAAATACAGGCAACTGAAAAATAGCAGACCAGAAAATGCCATTCTAGTGGTTCAAACAGCATCAGATAAAGTTCAAAACCACATCTGTAAATTAGAGTTGTTTTACTTCTTTGCTTCATAAAAGTGTGAAATGTAAAGGTGTTTATTTACATGAACAATCTTATCTTGGTTGATAACATGTCACAGGTAAATTACACATTGTGTTCGTGGATTAACACAGTTGTTATCATTCAGAAACAATGGTCCCTGAAAGGCAAGATAAAGAAGGGAACAGAAGGCCCAGAGACAGTTGAGCTTGTTTGAAGGAGGATTTAATACCAAGGCAAAGTCAATTCTATCTATTTTCAATTTGGTGGAGAATTTCAATGACCAATACATTCTGAAAGCCAGTTTCCTACCAAGAAATAACCTTTCGTGATTCTGTTTTTTTCCCAAAGCAATTAATGAATGCCTGTTGCATTAATCAATCCATAATTAAAGTGTCGTTCTTTTTTTATTTTTTTCCCAGTGTCCAACTGAGTACAACTTAATGTAAAATATGAAACATGAAAACTTCTAGCAAAACTTAATTGATGAGTTGCTTTCCTCCATTGCAGATGAGGAATGAATAGTTTGCTAGAAGAAGTACTAGTTCAAAAAATTAACCTTGTTCACAATTGATCTTAGGGTAAGGAAGAATGGATTCAGAGACTTGTTATATTATTTAGATTGCCAGATTTTTTGTTTTCAAATACCAAGTTCAGAGCTGCATCTGATCCTTAAAATTGGCATTTGATTCTAACATTAGTATTCAAATGCTGGCATTAAAGCAGCCACTCAAATAACAGATTTATAGTTAGTCCCTTAACACCAAGAGAGCTGGAAGTTCAAACAGCTCAAAAGAATGAATTCATGTAGCTCTTTTTGGCAGGTCAGAAAGTTTCCCTTTTTATAGCAGGTGGTCACAGAATATGTGATCAGAGTGAGTCCTTTGCTAGTGAAAGCAACATGAGTGTTTCTGTTGCCTTAACTAAGCAGCAGTGATAAATAAAATTTGCAACAAAATGTTGCAATATATCCTTCTGGCTTGCTTTCAGCCAGGCAATTAGTCAGTCATCCTCCAGGGTGGTTAATTTCATTTATCTTATTGTTTCTTTTCTATGACTTTCATTGATCTGTCTTCATGGGGTTATTTGGGGATCTGGGGAGTTTTATATTTTAAATATATTTTCTGTACTTTGGTTCTCCCAAGCCCGTTGATACTAGGGGTGTAAAGTACTTTAGAAAAAGTGTGAATCTGGAACCAAAATGAGCTACTTTGGAATGATTGAAGTTTTAGTAAGCTACTGCTTCATGAGGTGGCTCAAAGCGAATTAGGCTGCTCCCAAATGTCAAGTCCACATATTTGATATCTGTCAAATATTAGCATTGGTCAAAAAGGAGGGCACTTTTCCTCCAAACTTCTTATACACCTGTGTTCTGAAGAGACCCTCTCACAAAAGTTTCCTGGAAAGTTGGCTGATGAAAGGCTGCCAACCCTGGGTGAACCAGACAATGCTAGTTAAAAACAGCAACAGCACTGGGTGCTAATGGCTCAGATGTGGATACATTGTTACATCAGAAGAGTTAAGGACCACTTTGGTCAATGCTCAGGAATTGTCAGAACTATAATTCAAAACATTTGAAGGGTGACAGGTTGTGTACCCTTGCCGTATGTAATCGAAAGAGTTTTGCATTTCATGCACTTTAGTCTCAGAATTAAAAAATTCTGCTGTGTGCCAATACGATTCAACATCAATTTGCCTGTTTTCATTCTCCATGTTGACTGTAGTTTATCTATTATTATTCTTGTTATTCCCTAGTGACTTTTGTCTTCTAAACATCCATACTCCAGAAGAGGAGTTAACAATTTAGTTTGACATCACTGCAGGAAATGAAACTTTGGGGGCAATGTCAAAATATTTTTATTTGCAATGAAATCTGTCCATCTATCCATCCATCCATCCATCCATCCATCCATCCATCCATCCATCCATCCATCCAT